ACCGCCATTGACAAAAATGCAACCCCCGACTACCTAGGTCCCCTATGGTTCCCTAGGGACCTCTTAGAAAAATTGCCAAAAATCACAATTTTCATTTGCGTTTATTCGCTTGAAAAATGTTAAATATTCATTTGCACAATACATTTTTATATACACATTTTTATATACAAGACATTTTTATAAAACACCCAGTAACCAAAATAGACAGCCCCAGGTTTACCACACAGAAAGGGAATTCTAGTTACCTCATCCTTTCCCAAGGTTACAACACTGGGGCGGTAGCCCCAGTTAGGTCACACAGAAAGGAGAATTCTACGTAGTGCTCGCTAAGCGCGGCCGATGGCCTCCTACGCAGAAAGGAATTCTACGCAAAAATACTGTGGACGCAAGTAAAAATTGCTATTTTTGGCCCTTTTCTAAGGGGTCCGTAGGGAACCATAGGGGGCCTCGGTGGTCGGGATGGAGGGGCCACGCCCACTCCTCTCTTTGCCCACCACACCTTTAACGAACGGCCATAATGGAAAGTTTCCCCGTATAGCATATAATTTACTAATAAAAGACACAATTCTTACAAATGAACTTAAAAAAACTAGTTATTTTAAAATATATAATAAATTTAAATACATTTTTTGTAATATAGTGTGATGAGCAAAACTGTAACATGGTTTAACACTTTTTGTTTCAGCCACCGCCATATTTCCAAGTTCTAACGACTTTCATACTGTTGCTGTACATTCTTGTTGGTACATCCCTACTCCCTCTCTCATAATGATTCGAAGTCAATACAACAACAATAAAAAAACCATCAGACAAAAATGTAAATTAAGGCAGATGTTACAGTTTTGCACTCATATATTTTTAAGAACTTTTTAACAATTTTCACAAAAAAAAAGAACTACTAACACAATGCTCAGTACTCTTTTGCCTGCTTCAGTTCCTGGATTTGATTTGGCTCATGCACTCGATTTTACGGACTTTGATGCATATTATGCTGTGCTTTTAGTTGATTTCGCAAATTCTCGATGAGAATCATGTCCGCGGATTGTGGAGGTCATTTCAAATTAGCAAATTTTTGCTTTTGTATCCTGGCTTTGGGAACATGTGCAGTGTGTTTTGGGTGATTTTTCAGCAGAAACTCTCATTTTTTCGACTACATCTTGCAAATTTTGTTGAAATATGAACAGATACTGTTCCTTACGCCTAATGCATACTAACGGACAAACAAAATTTTTTAAATACAACCCCAAACTATTATTGACCGACCACTGTGATTCACAGTTTGCCTTACAGGATGCGCATGGGCTTAATTTGGATCTTTGATCCAATACCATACCCGGCCATCTGATTGAAAGCGATTAATTTAGTCTTGTCAGACCAAATAACCTTCGATTGAAACTTAAAAATGTTTTTTATTGCATTCTGAAAGGCCTAACATATTCCAATAGGCAACGGTCCGGTTTTCGTGCGATGCAGCAAAATCCTGCCACACTCGCACATGTATTTTGATCAAATTTGCCTTTTTCTTCTTTTATGATGCCTTTACCCTCAATTTGGCAATTCTTCGCCTCGCTGTCTAATGATTTGCATTAAAGTTTAATACCTTAAGCGCTTCTATAATAGTGGCTGCATCGCTACTTGCTGCTAAGTTCACAAGATATCGTACCGTAAAATTTTTTAACAGACTTCCTTTGTCCTTGGGAACACTTAAGGCTATATTTTTTCTAATAGGGCATTCGCACGAGGCGATTTTTCAGGCAACTTTTAGTTGAAAGCAAAAATCGCCTCGTCCGAACGGCCTTTCAACTAATCGCTTTCAACAAAGTTGGTCGCCAGCCAACTTTGAGCTCGTTCAACTTTTTTTCCTTGCAACCCTGTGTTTGTTTACATTCTGCATCAGTGTTGGGATATGAAATTGTTGCTTCAGTACGAAATCTATACAAAAAATGTACTTTTCGGCTATAAATTGTATACACTTTTTGATTCGCTCACATATTTTCTTAGTACATTCCCTTCAAGACCAATGATTTTATGGTATTCATTAGAAAGTTTTATTGTTTATGTACATACGTTTACGTATTTTACACTTTTACAAATTGATTCCACGTGCACATGTATTGCATTTAACGCAAATATGTATGCACACATTTTCAGGTATACATCTTAACAAAAAGCATATTTAAGTTATTATTAATGGATAAAAGAGACATTTTCTTTGCACTCAGTACTAAAATTTGATATTTTAATAGAATTTCAAGTGCTTATCAAAACTTTACGAGAAGATTTGACCATTTATCTTAATATTATTAAATTTTAACTATTTTTTGTAAAAATACGCTTTATATTTTAAGAAAAGCCGTACAAATCCAAGGTTCAAACTTTGTGCAACATTAAAAAAACCAACACACTTTCGTAAAAATTTCGATCTATTAATTCGATTTCCTAGATTTATTTTGAGTGTGTGGTTTTTTAGCCCATTAAATTTTAATACAACTAAGTTTTTTAAGATTTCTTTGATGAAGGTGTTGCTAATTTCCTCCATATAAAAAAATCGTCGAACACACTTCGTATGGAAGCAAATGGCTGACATCGTCGACAAAACCAAATTGCCAAGTTCAACGGTAAGTCCCAGCTACTTTAAACTTGCACTTTATTATACTAAAATTGAATGGGCTAAAAACTGAAGAATATTAATAAAGCTCGAAATTTTTACGACAGTATGTTGGTTTTTGGATGTTTCGCAAAGATTTAATCTTGGGTTTATACAGTTTTTATTAAAGAATACATTATAGTTTATAAACAGATAATTAAAATTAAAGAATAATAAAATAAATAGTAAAACCTTGTTGTAACTAACGAAGACTTTGTTTCTATATTAAGCTGACTTTGATATTTTGTTTTAATAAAACTTAGTATCGAAAAGTTTCTTTAAAAATTTGGCTAGGCTATGTTATACTGGTTCGTTCAAGCCATTTTACAAAACTTACAAAGGTAAATACGAACAGGCGAACTGTGAATTTTCAGAGCTATATATTTTTAGTATTCATTAGAAAATTTTACTAAAAAGTACTGCGTAGTAGGAAAGTATATTGTAAATGAAATTGTATCAAACAAGTACAATTGTACCAAAAATGCCAACACTGTTCTGTATACATACTTTTTTTTCTTTTTTACTTTTTTACTCTTATTTTATCTTTCAGCTTCGCTAAAAGCACTTCTACCAACGCTTGGCTTACCAAATTTACGCCAATTGATAAATTTTTGCGATTTAAATTTATTTTCAATAATGTAAATAACGATTCGTGTTGAATCCAAAATCGCCTCGTCTGAATAGGGATGGCAACTTTTTCACTTTCAACTTCTCATTCAACTACGTATTCAACTTTTGTTGCCTGTAAAATCGCCTCGTGCGAATGCCCTATAAGTCTTACCATTTTCAAGTAGCAAATTCCAAAATTGTTTGCCACTTTTCTTGCGGTTCCGCCTTTCCGCAGTAAATCTATTATTTACATTTATGGTTCCTGATTAACTATGTTATTTACTGGTGATCACTTCTTCAATAAATTACAATATAGAAAAGGGTCATCTGACGTCCAACTAAGTAAAAGATAACTGTCAAATGCAAAACTGAGAGTGAGTGCAAAACTGTATCATCTGCCTTAATTTACATTTTAGTCTGCTGGGTTTTTTATTGTTGTTGTATTTACTTCAAATCATTATGAGAGAGGGAGTAGGGATGAACCAACAAGAATATACAACAAAAGGATGAAAGTCGTTAGAACTTGGAAATATAGCGGTGGCTGAAACAAAAAGTGTTAAACCATGTTACAGTTTTGCTCGTCACCGTAGCTTTAGTTCCAGATACTTCCCTTAATTCTCCAAAAATTAAATGTGATACATTTTTTTTAAAAGATCAAAACAAAATAAAAAATCTGCTAAGCAAGATTTAATTTCTAAATTATATACTGAAAAACTCAAAAATCTTGAACAAAGAAATTTTGAAATAATATATACAGATGGTTCTATTAAAAATAACCAAACCCTTTTGCTTTTTTACACGAGAAATCTTCAACTGAGAAATCCTTTTTCTGTGACCGAAAAATGTCATCAATGTCAGCTGAACTTTTAGCGATTGATAAAGCTATTGATTTTTCAATATTTAATCAATTTAAAAAAGTTGCCATTCTTACAGAGAGTTTAAGTAGTCTAATGACTCTTTCAAATGAGAACTGTAATAATTATATATCCCAGCCCATAGTGGTATTGAATTAAACGTAAAAGTGGATAAAGCAGCTTCCACTGCTTGACAGAGTCGACAAAGAATTCAAAGTTTATGATGCTATAATAGAAATTAAAAGTAAAACAAATGAAGAGTGACAAGAATTTTATTCTAATAACATTATAACTAAAAGAAAATCGTATGGAGAAATATTTCCAAACATTTAGAATAAGCCTTGGTTTCATAAAAATTCAAATAAAATGAAATCAATAGAAGTTAAACAAATTAATTGATTTCTAACAAATCACACTTTCTGCAAGGAGACATTATCATTGAATATTTTTCAAAATCCAAATTGCGAAATTCGTAATACAGTTGAAAATACTGAACATATAATTTTCAGATGTAACAAATATAAAAATTCACGTGATAAACACCCAATACTTAAAAATACTTCATCATTAATTGAATTTCATCAAAATACTAATGGCAGAGCATATAAATCTATCACTAATTTTTTAAAGGACATTGAAATTAACTTATAATTTTATAAATTAATCTAAAATTGGAGATGGCGCTTTAAGCCTTTTTGCAGGCCAATTAATTCTTCTTATAAAGAATTAGGAAGTAACTTTAAATTACAAAAAAAAAAAATTTATTTGTTTACCAATAGGCGAAAAGAAAACACTGCCAATCTACCGAAATGGCCTCTAAAGTTATTCATTGTAAAGTAATCTTTATGTGGGTACTCATTTCTTTAACCACCTTTTAATTTATTTTTCAGATTCTCGTCTCAGAAGCCAACACAAGTGTAGGCGATGAACACACAGTTCTCTTGCATAATATTTTAGAAGGCTACAAAGAGCTGCCAACTCATTCTCAAACAGGAAAATGCAGCATCGATCCTTTTTGTATCGATGATGATAAGAGATCCCAACAACAATGAATTGTGTTAAAATTATGAATATTCTAAATAAAGAAGACTGTGTAAAATTATAATAGCATAATTTGCTTTTAAACTTACCTGGGTGCTGAATTTGCTGAGGCAAAATAAATTAACTTTAAAATTAAAAATGTAAAAATAAGTTCAATAAAAAACACAATATATAAAATTTTTCCACATTTATTATACACGCAAATATTATTCCGTACTTTAGAAGAGTTGACACAAATTTGTATGCATGAATGTAGTAATTTGTATGTTTAATAATTCTTCTTATCTTTTCTTACGATAATTTAACCCAAGTTTCCCACTTGTACATGTTTTGAGAGTATGTATGTATATTAAAAGTATTTGGTTTTTCTGTACGTAAATCAGTTGATTTTCTTGCCGAAAAATAATTAAACCGGTTATAGGACTGCCATTCAAGTGAGACAGAGGTTCATATGTTCTATTTATGCATGTACATCTTGGACTTAATTTCACAATTCGAAGTACGTTAAAGTTTATTTCAAGTTTAAAATTCTTTTGTTGACAAGTTTCTGCCTTTTACTTTTTCACGAAGGTACAGTTTTTAGTGTAAATTTCATTAAGTTATTATGCTACATATTTTACGACTAGAAATATATAGTAAATAAGTGAAACGATTTTAATTAATATTGTAAATAGTAATATGTATAAAGTTGTGTTTAGATATTTTATATTCGACTGCAAGTACCCAAGTTGCAACTAATTTAATTAAAGTAATTGCATGGTATGTATGTACGTACGATATTGGCTCCAATTATTTTCTTTGCCTTAAGAAGTACATACTTTTCGTCCATTTGTTAGGAAAGTTTACTTAAAACATACATAGATTGCATGACATTTTGTCTGGCTTGTATATGTATGTTTGTCAGTATGCATTAATGCATTTGTAATTATAATACTAAAGTAGTTTATAAAAATAATCAAACTGTCTACAACTTTTTGTTACGCCATACAATATTTGGCAATGCTGCTAAATGTAGCAAACAATTTTAAATTAATAAAATTAATAATACAACTTATTTTTATCTATTTATGTATGCATATGTTACATATGCAAATAAGTTAACTTAATTAGTTAAAATTCAGTCGTTTTTGAGCTTTTGCTTTCCCCTTTGATATTTTTATACATATTACACTTTATAAATATGTATGCAATTAATGTTTTGTTATGATTATATTTACATAAGATTTGTGTACATGTACAGTCGTTAAAGAAATTTATTATAAAATAAATTTTTTTTGTAGTATGTAAAAAAAATAAATCAAACTCAAATAAACGTCATACAAATCATTGCGCTGGTAATTCTGTAATAAAAAATTTAATTTATAAAGTTCTGTCAGACGTGGCAATATTTCTCCACGCAATTGGCTGCCAAATTGAGAAAGAGAAATTTTATTTTCACGTGTGAACATCCAGAAAGAAAAGGATCACTTTTTTGCAAGGTTAACACCTTTGCAACACCCTTTCGAAAATATATTTCAACGTGGTCGTGCTGCGTGTTGTTGAAATATAATGAAACGGCGAAGAGAATTTATCGACTACCCAGCAAACACAGTTTCAAACGTTTGAGAAAAACGTATTTCTCAATTTGATATCAAATGTTTTCCTCAAATGATTCTCAAAATGAAAACGAGGTGTAAATTTTACATTTGAAATTCTTTTGAGGTTGATTTGATGAAAGATGTCAACTATCAAACGATATAAAAAGGCGCAGTTAAATCAAAAAATGTAAGAATAAAACAAAGATCAATTGAAAAAAACAATGAATAGAAAAAATTGTCAAAGAGAAAGCCCACAAATAGTGGATTTGATATTTGCGCGGATTGAAGAAGCTGCAGCCCTTCAAGACGAATTTATTATAAATTACTTTATCTTAATTGTTTCTTTTGTTATGTACATACATATGACCAGCGCGAAGAAAAAATAAATATGAAATATACAGTTCCCTATAATATATTTTATTTCCACATTTGAAGTAGAATTGATAAATAACCTTTGAAATTGATTTGAGAGTTAACCATATTCTCAAATGGAGATCAAATTCCCCTTTTTATTGAGAAAGCTGTAATTTTCAATATCAAATCATTTTCAAACGTTTGACATTTGAGAAAGGCTTTGAGATCAAATCATTCTCAAATGTATATAAAAGCTAATTGTTTGCTGGGTACATATACCGAGATATATCCGATGTTTTTGTTGTTGTAACGGCATACAAATTCCCCAAAGAGTTTTTGGAGAGTGTTGCTGGAGCGACAATCCTTGGCCAAATATAAATCTGGGTCGTTCCGGTTACGTAGACCCGACTGTCCGATTTCTGATAAATGCCGATGTCATATTAACATTTTTATTTCGTTTTCAAACAATAACACCAACGGGAATATATCCAAATAACATAATCTCTGTTGCCTTTTTTCCCATTTTTTGGCCTAATAGCATTTTTTTTATTAAAATCGGCCTCAACCGATTAAAATGTATTTAAGACAAAAATCATTTAAAATACCTTCATTTAAAAATTTAAATTTATGTGCGTATGAATCTAAGTGTGTGTGTATACACACATATACATATATGTAAGTGATATTTTTGATTATCTTATAGTATTGTTAATATCGGCGGTATGAACATACATACATTTAGTATCTAAGTAGTAGTATGTTCACCCAAGAGATTTGATTGCATACGCAAAATATGGGGACTCCCTGTAAAAGAATTTTCGAATATGGCGTTTTTTCGGGGTAAAAATGGACTTGCAATTAGATTTTTCTACGCTACGATACACACGTGTATTTATGTAAGTTATACTAATATTTATAGAGTGCAAATATCGTTAGATTAATTCAGAAATATACATAACCTCTCAGGTATGGATTGAAAGATGTTCTCAAAGAACATAAAAACTTATTTATTACTTATGATGTGTATATAAATATCGTTAGCTTAATATAGAAAGGCTCCATCTAGAATGTTTATGCCTTCACAGAATAGTTACACAGATAAAGACTTTGTGATGTAGTAGTTGTTTTAAAATTGGATTAGGCCTTTAGTGAGTAATCTACCGACTTTTTTACAAAGCTGAATATCGAAGGAAAATGAGTAAGGGCCTTTTTGCATTAAGGTATCGATATGTGTGTATGTATGTATGTAATATGTCAATTTGTCATTTCCACATTAAGCTAACGATAAACGGTCATACGATTTTTCGACTTCTACACCAAAATATATTGATTGTCTCTTAGATACACGAAATATACAAATAGATTTATATATATAAACGTAATAATTAATTTAATTAACTACTTTTAGTTAAATTTTCAATTGTCTATACGTTTCAACAATCCATAAAAATAATTGTCTAATACGTAGTGTTACGGTGAAGTTACTTGTTTCAGGCTAGCTTCGAAAAGACAGTTCACAGCGGTGTTTTTTTTAGAGATACATACATACATAAGTTCACAATTTTTAGGTAGTTATCATCTTTTTATTGTTACGTTTTTGGACATTTTAGTGCTGTAAAATTGACAGAGTATCTGTATATGAATACAATTTATATAATACTTATACTTACATATCTATTTTGCAATATAGTTTTATGGTTCGTTCGCTGCGATACGTTGACCACAAAATATGTTTAACAGTGTTTATTAAATTTTGTATGCTTTAACTGCGTCTGATTTAAACATTGCAAATCTCTAACAGCAATAAAATTTCGCCATTTCAACTTTAAATATAAATACATATGTATGTATGTATGTATGTATGTAGGCATTCTGTTTTTTGTTTGTTTTTCAAATTGGTTATTTCACAACAATTGTTTTTAGTTTTGTATGGATTTGTAATGTTCAATTTGCAGGTCACGTACGCATAAAGTGCATTTTGGTTGTTTTGTAATGTTCTTAACACTAAATTGTGCACATTTAACTAGTTATAGTTTTAATACCTTTTGTTGTTTTGTTTTGTTTTCTTACCGGAAATGGCCTATTTCATACATTTATACATTAAACTAATAAATATCTGTGTATCTGTGATGTATGTATGCACGTATATACTAACTAGCTAGATACATATAAATGCATATGTATTTGGGTAGGGACCTGCCCTGCCATTGGGTATTGATTTATTTTAGCTCAGTAGTATTAGCTGTGGTGCTAATGATGTTGTTGAATCAAACCGCAGTAAGTAAGTAAATGTATATTTATGTACATATATTGTACATTAAATGCAGAGTATTTTCTATTTTAAATACATATCAATTTTTATCTTCACCCTTTTCCTATTATTATATTTATATTGTAGTGTGTACGTCAATATGTGTTAATGCTTTTTAGTGTTAAACTAGTTTTGAACTAAATTTTTTTGAATGTTTTATGCAATAAACAAAACTCTACGTCTGATATGAAAAATAAGAATTTGAATGTACGTACACTTAACAGCAAAAGTCTGCGTACGACATTACTTTTTTAAATATATTAACAATATTTTGCAAGCGAAACTTTCTTCAAAATTTTCAACTTTTTAAAAAAAGTTTCACCCATACTTTGTATGGAGGAAAATGCGTAGAACGGGCAGAAAAAATGTAAAAATTCAACGCGATTTCTAAGCCTCTTAATTCTTACACATTATTATACTAAAATTGAATGGGCTATGGGTGGGCGCTGTGGCCAATGGTAGCTCTTGTACCACCTCTGTATGCCGAAAGCAATACAGAGCCCTGTGAGACAACTCCGAGAGAGTTGTGATGCATCAAACGAGTTTGTTTAGCATCATTTGGGGTACCAGCAATTAACTACTATAGTAGGTTTTGTCTGCGGCAAATGAGAAGTGCATAAAAAAAGGCACACCCAATGATGAACGAGCGAATTATTTTTAAACACAAGTGCGTGTGTTTATTCGCTGCACTTGGTTTTGGGCGGGAGTGCAATACAAGTGCGTGTGTGTGTTCGCTGTTCTTTCTCTATGCGGAAAATGCATAAGTCGCTTAAACAGGCTATAATTACGGTGACCACAAATATATTTTGAAAATGCAGGACA